CGAGGACGCTTCCCGATTATTCTTTTGAGTGTCACGCGAAACGGACGCGGGTCGGACCAAAATTTTAACCTAAGGAGTTTTGTCACAAAATCAAAGCTTTAGGCCAAATGACAACTTATTACTGTCTAGGCCCAAGCCATGGTCCCGGGAGAACAGCTCTGCCCCAGGGACAAGGGGCCCTGAAGGGGGAAAATGACCTTAAGGCTGTTCCCAGGAAGGAGGAGCTGGAGGCCGTGGCTGAGAAAAAGGGAAGTTCATGACGAAACATGTGATAGAAAGATAACCCAGATTCTGGGGCCACAGAAAGGACCTGTTTCCTTCCCTTATTTCCCTGCATTTCCCTCTGAGCTCATTTCACAGAAACATCGCCCTGAGCTGCACAGTTGGAGGGTGAGCATGTCCCTGCTGATCTGAGCTCTGCAGGCCACAGGGACCCACGTCTTCCTGAAGCGTCTCCAGGCCCCAGTGGCACTGTCCATGGTGAGGACCACAGGGAGGTGCTGATGGACGGGCTGAGGAGGGAGGAGACCCCGTGGGGGAGGCTCTGTCAGGGAAGGACGTGCCCTGGGTCACCTCACCTGCAAGGGGCATCTCAGGAGGCTCCAGGTCTATTTCCTGCTTCACCATGGAAATGAGAGCCAGGCTGTGCACTCACCTGCAGGCTGCTGATGTGACAACCCTGTGACAGGGAGGACCGGCCTCTAAGTGACCACCATCTGTGTGTCTCTGTGTACATCCTGCTGGCCCTGCGATCTCCTCCATCCACTCAGCTGAGGCCACAGGGAGAAGACGCCATGACCCCCACCCTCATGGCCCTGCTCTGCCTCGGTGAGATGAGAGGGGGAGGGGAGACCTGGGCTGTCAGGACCCCAGGACTCAGGAGGCTCATGGGCAGGAGGGTGCTGCTCAGGGTTCAGGGCAAATCTCTCACAGGGACTCTCTTCCAGGGCTGAGTGTGGGCCTCAGGACCCCAGTGCAGGCAGGTGAGTCTGTCCCCACGTGTTCCAGGTCCCACTCCTCCCTGGGAACAAGGGCCACCCTCCAGGCATCTGGGAAAGGGGTGCAGATCAGTCTGACAGATGGGGGGCATCTGGGACTGAGTGCTGGGACCAGGGGTGGGAATGTCCTGTGACCCAGCCTCTGATTCCTTCCAGGGCCCCTCCCCAAGCCCACCCTCTGGGCTGAGCCAGGCCCTGTGATCCCTCGGGGGAGCCCCATGACCATCTGGTGTGAGGGGACCCCAGGGGCTGAGGAGTACCGTCTGGAGAAAGAGGGAAGCCCAGCACCATGGAAAAGACAGAAGCCACAGGAGCCAGGAGACAAGGCCAAGTTCTCCATCACACACATGACAGAGCATGATGCAGGGATATTTCGCTGTTACTACCTCAGCTCCAAAAGCGGGTCAGAGCGCAGTGACCCCCTGGAGCTGGTGGTGACGACAGGTGAGAGGACACTCAGGGGTTCCAGCCTCAGGCTCAGCCCTCAGGAAGGGGGTCTGCTCTCAGGGTGTCTCCCTCTCACAGCCCAGCCCTGGGGGACATGAGGGAGGTGTGAGCCCCATTTAACACGCTGCCTCCTCCTCTCCTAGGATCCTACAGCAAACCCAGCCTCTCAGCCCTGCCCAGCCCTGTGGTGACCTCAGGAGGGAATGTGACCCTCCAGTGTGGCTCAGGGCAGGGATTTGACAGGTTCCTTCTGACTAAGGAAGGAGATCACAGGCTCTCCTGGACCCTGGACTCAGAGCCACGGCCCAGGGGGCAGTTCCAGGCCCTGTTCCCTGTGGGCCCTGTGACCCCCAGCCACAGGGGGACATTCAAATGCTATGGCTGTTACAGGAACAGGTCCCATGTGTGCTCACACCCCAGTGATGCCCTGGATCTCCTGGTCCCAGGTGAGTCCCATTATTGCCCCATCAATTGATTGAGGCACCGGATACATCCTTGCCATCTTTGCTGGGAGGGGAGCCCCATGTGAGAGTGTGAGGTAAGGGAATCCTGGGCCAGAGACACAGAGATCAGCGAAACCTGGGGTCCAGGCCAGGAGAAGGGGTTTATGGGAGGAGCAGCCCTTGTAACTCTTGTCTGGTCTCCCCAGGTGAGTCTGGGAAGCCCTCCCTCCTGAGCCAGCAGGGCCCCATCGTGACCTCTGGTCAGAGCCTGACCCTCCAGTGTCGCTCTGATGTCGGTTATGACAGATTCGCTCTGCACAAGGAGGGGGGACGGGACCTCCCCCAGAGCCTTGTCCTGCAGCCCCAGGCCGGGCTTTCTCAGGCCCACTTCCCCCTGGACACTGTGAGCAGCTCCCACGGGGGCCGGTACAGATGCTACGGTGGATACAATCTATCCTCTGAGTGGTCGGCCCCCAGTGACCCCCTGGACATCCTGGTGGCAGGTGAGGAGCCAGTGGGTTCAGTCAGGGACCCAGACTCTGCACAGGCCCTGCTGGGGGTCTCAGGTGGTGAGGCCAGAATGACAGTGCAGAGCCCCAAGGAGGGAGAGAGACAGAGAGAGGGAGGGGGTGGGAGGGGAGAGGGGAAACTCAGAGAAACAGAGACAGACAGAGAGGAGGGTGCTCAGAGAGAGGCCTGGTGACTCTCAGGGCAGAACAAGCTGGAAAGGCAGCCCTCACCCTCCCTCTCTCTCTCTAGGACACCTGCCTGACAGACCCTCCCTCTCGGTGCAGCCAGGCCCCAGGGTGGCCTCAGGAGAGAACGTGACCCTGCTGTGTCAGTCACAGAGCCCGAGGGACACGTTCCTTCTGTCCAAGGAGGGGGCAGCCGATCCCCCCCTGCGTCTGAGATCAGAGCACCAAGCTCAGCAGTACCAGGCAGAGTTCTCCATGAGCCCTTTGACCTCAGCCCACGGGGGCACCTACAAGTGCTACAGCTCAAACATCACCTCCCCCTTCCTGCTGTCACTCCCCAGTGAGCCCCTGGAGCTCCTGGTCTCAGGTGAGGGCCCCTGACCATGTGTGCTGAGCTGTCAGCTTAGGCTGCTGTCCCCAGAACAATCATGGGCTGAAAGGGAGGGAGGGGCTGTAGGCAGGGTCACCCAGAGGAGATCGCACCTCAGATATCCATCTCCTATCCCTCTCCACCCCTGCCCCTCACCTGGTCCAGCAGGTGCCTGTGGACAGTGGGAGGGTCTCGGGGGCCACAGGGCAGATGCAGGAGGAGTTGAGAGAGGTAGAGACTCTAGTGTCAGCCCCAGACTCTCACCCACTTCTGTCCTCCTTCCCAGGAACCTCTAGGACTCAACCCCCGCCCCTTGCCAGGGCCCATGTCCACAGCTGATGAAATACTGGGTCCCATTTACTCAGAGAACACTGGCTACCAACTCTCTCAGAGGATCTAATGCCCCCCCCCCCGCCCCTACCGCCCAGACACTTAAGAACAGGCTTGTGTCCCAGCTGGCGCTGGGAATTGGGGAGAGATTTCAGGGAACCACGGGGCTCCAGGGACTGGAGGTTTCACCCCTCCCCGACCACACAGTCAGGCTTGCCGAGGAGTAAGTGAGGCAGGGACAGGTAGGGAGGTCATGGCAGAGGGAGATGTGGGGCCCAGCTGGAGGAGGGGGAGCTGTTCTCTAGTGGGAAGAACACAGCCCCGCCCCTCACCTGTCATCCTGATCCCCAGGAGGCTCTGAGGATCCGCAGCTCCCCCCCATGGAGTCAGGCCCCCAGAGGGGTAAGTGAGGGGCTCTGTGGGAGGTGGTCGGTGCCTCCATGAGGGACAGGGGCTCAGCCATGCGGGGGTTCAGGCACCTGTGGAGACACAGACTTGGACCCGCCCTTCCCCTGCCTGGGCCTCAGTGTCTCCAGGTGTAAAGGAGAGAATCCTTGTGCAGAGCTCAGATTTCCTGTCAGTTCTGGCCCTGACCTCCTGGGAGAGGGGGCCTCACAGGGAAGCCCCCAGGATGTGATATTATGGGGCCTGTCCCCTCTGTCTCAGTGACGGTGCACTGTACAGGGAGGGACGGGCAGGACAAGGGTCCAGGCATCGAGGTCCTCCCCCTCAGCTCCTGGCTCTGCTGCTCCTGCTGTGGGGCTGGGCGGTCCCTTCTCTCCTCTGAGTGTCGGGTTCCTGTCTGCTCATCCCTGGTCCCATCCTGCTCACAGGCTGCTAGGAGATGAGGGGACTTAGGGCCTCACAGAGCTCAGGAAGGCAGAGCCCCCAGCCCAGCCTGACCTTCCCATGGGACATCAGGGCCTGCAGGGTGGGGACGGATGAGGGAGAGACTCAGAGTCCACTCCTCACCCTGCCCCTCCTGTCCCTGCTGTGCTGGGGGCGGGTAATGGGGAAGGACCCTCAGCTCCAGATGAGACGTGGACAGGCCCCTGCAGAGGAGGAGCCCAGAGCACAAAGCTGGTGTCCCCCTGGGGGGCAGTGTGAGGACAGCACAGGGAACCCACAATCCTAGGTTCAAGTCCCAGCCCTGCCCCGCCCAGACTGGGTGACCTGGGGCACGTGGTTAATCTCTCTGCGACTCAGTGAAGTGTGTGGTGGGGTCAGCAATCCCTGGTGCATGACTGCTGTGAGGTGGGAGGAGATGAGGGACAGACCCCAGCATGTGCCTCACACACAGTAGGTGCTCATTAAATGGCATCACTGGCTCATTCATGATGTCAGGTAGGGAGAAGGACACCCCTGACATTTCAAGTCTGATTCCTTTCCAGGAGTTGTACCCAAACCTTCCATCTGGGCTGACCCAGGCCCCATCGTCACCAAGGGGAGCCCCGTGACCATCTGGTGTCAGGGGTCTCTGCAGGCGAGTGCCTACGTTCTGTATAAAGAGAGGGGCTCTGAACCCTGGGATACGAAGAAACCACAGGACTCCAGCAACAAGGCCGGTTTCCTCATTGGAGCCACGACCCCATCCCACACAGGGCTGTACCAGTGTGCATATTACACCACTGGGGACATACTCTCAGAGCGGAGTGACCCCCTGCTCCTGGTGGTGACAGGTAAGGGAGACACTGGGTCCCCTCCCCACTGTGGGCTCCAGGTCACAGGCAGAGGGAGTAAAGTGTGGCCTCAGGGGGACCCCAACCCTCACAGAACACACCTGGGGCATAAGGGTGACGGTCCCTTTAACACAGACCCTTTCTCCTCCCTCAGGAGTGGGCGGTGCACCCTCCCTCTCAGCCCAGCCAAGCCCTGTGGTGGCCTCAGGAGAGAACGTGTCCCTCTCCTGTAGCTCACACTTCACATGGGGCCCTTTCCATCTGCTGAAGGAGGGAGGGGCTGACCCGCCCCGACACGTGGAAGCAGAATCCAGGAAGCATGCTGGGAGGTGGCGGGCCATCTTCACTCTGGGCCCCGTGAGACCCTCACATGGGGGGACCTACAGATGCTATGTTTCTCCCAGCTCCAACCCCAACGTGTGGTCACAGCCCAGTGCCCCTCTGCACATCGAGGTCACAGGTGAGAAACAGGCCCGGATGCAACCCCATCTGTTTCCTGGACCCAAATACCTGACCTAAGCTGTGGGCCCAGCGGAGCCCTGGGCTCATGGGGTCAGTGACACTGGCCTCTTGGGACAGAACCACAGGCGGGAGGCTCAGGGAGGGACATGGGAGACCTCTCACTGCAGCCCAGCGGGCGATGGGGTGTCCCCTGGTGCCACTGTCCCCTCCTCCCAGGTGTGCACAGGGAGCCCGCCCTCTCAGCCCAGCCAGGCTCGCTGGTGCTGCCTGGACACAGCCTGACCCTCCAGTGCCACGCGGAGGCCGGCTTTGACACATTCGCTCTGACCAAGAACGAGGGGCTCACACACCCCCAGCACCTCGATGGGCAGCACAGCCCCGACTTCCCCCTGGGCCCCGTGAACCGCACCCACGGGGGCCGGTACAGATGCTACAGTGGACACCAACTCTCCTCTGTGTGGTCGGCCCCCAGTGCCCCCCTGGACATCCTGGTGGCAGGTGAGGAGCCAGCCCTGCCCCTGTCTGAGGGTCTGCTCAGGGCTCTGGGCCCAGGGTCACCTGGGGGTGATGGGGTCCAGGAGAAGGGCCTGGAGCAGAGGCTGAGCTGGGCAGAGGCCTAGGGGAGGGAGGAAGAAAGGGGGTGAGGGCTATGGAAATGAAAGACACCCCACAAGGGGACTGAGAGGAGCTGGCAGGGGTCACAGACAGAGTTTCTGGAGGACAAGGTCCCTCAGCTCAGGGCCAAGGGCAAAAGGGAGGGGTGGCTCTCTACACATCACAACCTTCCTCTGCCCAGGAATGTACAGGAAACCCTCCCTCTCAGCCCAGCCGGGACCCTCAGTGCCCAGGGGAGTGAACGTGACCCTGCAGTGTGGGTCTGAGATCTGGTTTGACACCTTCCACCTGCACAGGGAGGGGTCACTGGACCCTCCCCAGCACCTTCGTCTGCAGGACACGTCTGCACCCTTTCAGGCCACCTTCACCCTCAGTCCTGTGAGCTCAGCCCACCAGGGGACCTACAGGTGCTATGGTTCAAACAGCACCTCCCCCTACCTGCTGTCACAGCCCAGCGACCCCCTGGAAGTGGTGGTCTCAGGTGAGGAGCCCCAGCCCCACCCCTGTGTCCTCAGGTCAGTTCAGGGCCCTGTTCCCTGGGAATCTTGGCTGTAATGGGTGTGATGGGGTCACAGAAGGAGGGTCCCCCAGAGGTGACTCTCACCTCCCAGAGGGATGGAAAGAGCCAGAGCTGCTCCTATCCCTGCCTCATCCCCATCCTCCTCCCTGAGGCCCAGACATGTTCCCGTGGGCAGAGGGAGGCTGGCGAGGATGGGGCTGACCAGAAGGAGAAAGGCCAGAGGCACCTATCCCGACCCTCCAGTCCCCAGTCCTGTGGCCTCAGCCAGAGAGACCAAGACTAGAGTGTGACCAGAAGAGGCCAGATCCCCAGAGAGAGCAGGACCCCCTGCTGGGGCTTAGCCTGTATCCCAGGGGGGCTCGGCGGGGGGCGGTTGGAGATGCTGGGGGACCACCAGGGGAGGAGCAGCCCTCACCTCTCACCTCCCATCCTGATTGAGGAGCCTCTGAGGATTGGTCCCCCAACGGGAAGTCAGGCCCGCAGAGGACTCAGTGAGGGTCTGGGGGGAGGTGGTGGGTGGGAGGAGCTCAGTGTTGGTCTTGGCTCAGCCACTTCCTGGGTCATGGCCTGAGGAAACTTCCTCCTCCTCACTGGGACCAAGTTCTCCAAAGGCTGTTAGGACAGTGTGCCCATGTCTGTGTGTGCATGCTTGTGTGTTGGGGACAAAGGTGGTGTCTGAGTCTCCTCCACAGCCTTCCAAGGAGCAGCCTCAGCCCTGGTTCCAATCCCAGCTCTGCTCCTTCCCGCCTGTGGGACCCTGGACACGTCTGTTCCTCCGAGTCCTGGTCCATGGGCTGTGGGTCAGGCCCCCACCTCCCTCACAGGGAAGGCCCTCAGCACGCAGCCAGGCCCTGGTTAGAGCTCAGTGATGAACCAGGCCTCTCTCCTGCCCTTCCCGGAGCCACCCCACGTGCACAGGCCCCACTG